ACTAATGCATCCTGGCAGCGTACTCCATCTATCCATCTCCCCAGCGCTATCATTAAGGTACACGTCGGGGGCTTAGCTTGTATTTCTCCGCACGGAGGTTACAGCCTTTTCATTGACCCAGAAAGGTCGTATAACACACATTCAGGGGACCCTCCGGTCGACTGCCCAATCTACAGGTCTGATATACAACTGGCACCCGCTCCAGCTTCCTAACGAAGTGGTTTGTCAGTGTATGATGAAGAGTGGATTGATCTCTATCGAGTGGGGATTTGGCATCCTCCCACTGCGGCAGCACAGAATACCTCACAGGGCATCCCTGATTAAAAATCGCGCCGCAAATTTAGCGAGTAGACGGGTATTTGAAAAGGTTGTCTCTGAATCGGTTTTTCCAGTCCACGTCCCTCTGGTCATCTCTGCGGAATGATTCACATGCTAATAATTTTAAGTTTGAAAGGAGACTATTGTGGAAATTATTTTAACTTGAATGAAGAATTCTTTAAAATTAATGACAATGACAATGACCTTTATTGTTTAATAGAGACCCAAAAATTCCAACATTTGTTCCTTCAGTCAAAGCCAGCCCGCAGGAATCTTAAAAAGCCATTCACACTTCTCATCTATAAGCTCAAGCAATCTGTCAGGAGAAAATCAACCTACAAACGTTGTGGAAGAAATATCCGATAGCTGGGGGTGAGCAAAGGTCAACGTAATAAAGCACATAAAAAAACGTTGATTAACCGAGGTGTTATCAGTGTTAACGTTAAATGACTTTTTTTGCGTCACTTTCACTTGCTCTTGGCCAAATCCGTCCGCATGGAGGTCAGGCCGGCGTGCGTCTAATCATGACACCTCACCTGTTTGTCTGGACGACCGCCGTCCTGACGAGCCAAGGCACGCCCAGGCCGACCAGGATGTCAAACACGTTACTGCCGACTGCGTTCGACACCGCCATGTCTCCCTCTCCTACAAAACACGGCAACATGTCAGCAACACTGTTAATGTTATTGCAGGTGGTGCAGTTTGAAAAACACGAATGAATATGATATGTAATAACGGTAGGCCAGTGTTTCGGCAACGGGTTTGGCTGCTAGTCGTCTATTGACGACAGATGAGTTTGACACCGTTTATGAAAAATGTCTTTGGTCATACCGGTCTGTGTCCCAAGAAGAGCCCGATCTACGTGAGCCATGTCTAATACGACGTACCTTCTTTAGACACCAGGACGCTAGATAAGGCATCAGGCACGCTGGTTCCGATGGCGATTAACGTCAGGCCCATCACTGTGTCCGGGATACCCACCGTGAAACCTGCAGATTAAAAGCACACAGTCGTAGACCATATGTGTGTTTTGATGCCCTGGTATTTAGCATGCTAATATTGTTGCTCCTGTGATATAATAATCTCAGTATTGATAAGTCACCCGCAATTGCAACATGATGTAACCCAACACTAGTTACCATGGTAACAGACGTCTGGTCCTGGTCATTGACCTTATTGGTTTGGAGAAGAAGAAGAAGAGAAAACAGAGAAAGAACAATATGTTTTCCTTCGGTAAACATGCTAGTAATAAAACTGCCATTGTCACTACCTATGACGGTGACCGTCCAGACGAGTATGTATGTGAAGACTCCTATCCAGACGACTGACATGAGGAAGCTGACAGGATACCATCTTCTCCACCTGTCCCGGCGGCAGTCAGGCACGGTCCCCCATAGCAGCGCGGTCAGAGGCAGCCCCACAACCCATAATACTCTCCTCCAGGGCTGGGACGGGGATGAGAACGGAGACTCAGGCTCGCCGCCGACCGCTTCGTCCGAATGGGTCGTGGCAGCGCCACTAGGCGGCGTCTCCAGGAATTGCACTTCTTCTGCGGCATTCTCTGGAACAATCAAAATCTGATTGAGAAAAATCTTATCAAGACCACTGTGTAAGGTCGTTTACAGCACAGTCTAGACTCGATACAATATACATATGGCTACTAGTAAAACATTCATGACAGACCATGCTAACGCAAGAGGGAAGTGTGTACGAGAAAATGACTTACGTTCTTGAGTCTGTCGTGGGGCGGAGAACTTAGACAGACGGTCTTTCATGATGTCGGAGGACCAGATTTCGTCATCTGTTGCCGCATCTCCTTCTTCCGCAGTTTTTTCAGAAGCAAAACCTACCAAGAATCCAGCGAAAAAATATTAATGAAAAGGTAGCTAACACGTTATAAAGCCAGGAAATAAAGTTTCCCATTGGAGGTAAAGTTTAACTTTGAAATGGAATCCTCATACAGAAGAAACACCATTGCATGAGCGAAACGATGATGAGAAGCATGCTTAAAACCACCTCAAAGTCTCCGAAATCCGTTACCTGCTTTCATTAGCGGCGTTTTCTCATACTGCCCCGACTGCCGGCGGTTTTGAGGGTCAACAGTTGCTGCGGGGAACCGCCGGTTGAACCCTGAGCTCAGCTGGCGGTTGAAGTACATCAGCACCACGTACAGACAGTACAGACACACCAGGACACACGCCTCGTACCTGCAAGTATTAACATAATGGAATAAGTTGAAATTTATGCTTTCTATTCAACATGTCAAAGTTGGAGTTCTTGTGTGCGTAAAACCGTAACGTACATGCTAGTCCTTGGGGAACATTCTTGGACCGAGGAGTTCTAATCGGAATTGACTTCTGTTGCTACTGATGACCAATGATGAGGTAATTAACATAATTATGTAGTAGTCCTACACCAATGTTAAGTCCAGTCAGCCATTGCAAAATGTACTCGTGGGTATAACGTGCATCCCAGGATCATGTGGACATTTTGTGGAGTACATTTAATAGATGTACTAACCAGTGGACCTGTTCGTCGTACATAACGATAACGAGCGCCGCCACGCTGATGAGGTAGATACTGCAGTCCCGCAGCAGGGGCCACAGCGTTAGGGTGATGGCCTGCTCAGGGAGGGGTAAAGAGCGGTTGATTTAAAGAAAGTAGCAGGTGAATTTTCTAAGAGGAATCAATTTTACGCTTGCTTCTGACTTTGCTTCGGTCATTTGGCATTGTGGTATAAACCCTACTTTTCAATACGTAGTAGGGCTGATGCCGAAAACGCAAGATTTACTGCAAAAAAAGGCGGCGGCGGCGACTGACTGAATGTGAACATCCCCGGCCATACATGTATAGCGTAACACACCAGCTAGTGGTGATTCGTCTTACCGTCCCGACCATGAGCCCACACAGCCCCACGATGTGTGTAACGGGTCTTACCGTCCCGACCATGAGACCTCACAGCCCCACGATGTGTGTAACAGGTCTTACCGTCCCGACCATGAGCCCGCACAGCCCCACGATGTGTGTAACAGGTCTTACCGTCCCGACCATGAGCCCGCACAGCCCCACGATGTGTGTAACAGGTCTTACCGTCCCGACCATGAGCCCGCACAGCCCCACGATGAAGAGCAGGTTGAAGACGGCCGACCCCACGATGGTTCCCACTCCGATGTCGTCTTGACTGATGAAGACGCCGAAGATGGACGTGAAGAGCTCGGGGGCAGAACTTCCGGCCGCCATGAACGTGGCACCGGCCACATCCGGCTGCAGACGCAGACCTGGAGAGTGTAGAAAATAACTGGCAACTTCAGGGAGAAACGTCGTCGGTACGGCGTAATAACTAGCGTCTACCAGGTTTCGAAATCAGCTGGAAAGAGTACAAATTGGCCAAATACAGATAACATGCCAGGGAGTACAGTTTGCTGCACCCAAAGCGCAGTAGAGACTAGAGGCTACGTAATAACGACAAGTCGAAACGGGCTTTAGTGGCTCTCTGTAGTAACAACAACTGAGACCGTTATGGTGAACGAATACGCACCTTCACTGATCCTTTCCAGTGCGGGCACAAAGTAGTCATCGCAAATGATGGCAAGAGCCTGGAAGATAGCAATATCATCATTACTGTATGTAACTATAGGTATCTTGATAATCATGATAATCAAGAAACGCGTACTGTGACAGCATAAGAGTCACATCGTGGGGACGTAAAGCCGGCGGCCCCGTGGGAGCTTCAGGCATCAAACCTCTGCACGTAAAAGAACCCAACACACTTACTAAGAAGAGTAGGGGTGCTTAGTAAAAAACGTGAGCCGTACAAGCGAAGCCGTGTTGCACTAACTACAGAACTGGCAAAAAAGCGTCGTACTTCGTTCTCTGTCTGAGGTTGCCTTATCCCCAAGCAGATCCTACGGTTGGAAGATAGTATCCATTGGACATTTGTGTGTTTCTAGCTCTGGCCAATGAATTTTTACTGCCTTGCCACCGTAGGATCTGCTTGGAGATTAGAGGTCGCACGATTTACCTTTCAAGATTATAAAATTGACAACTCTCACCAGGAACATGTATAGCGAGGCGATGACGTGCAGAATGACGGCTCCCTGACGCCGCTGCGCCTGCGTGAACAGGTCGCCGGGAAATCGTCCGATGGCCGGCGGGGAGCAGTTCCCTACAGGGCTGGTGTTGGTGGGAGCAGCGTCGAGGTTTCCTGTACCTGGCACGGGCAAAATTAAGGAAACTATTGTAACAGGAAGGATGATACACACGACTTAAAGTTGTAAATCGTAGAACTACCCTAATTGTGTGTATGTTTGTCTGTGAAATAGATGGAAACATAGTCTTTGGAGCTTGCAAAGAAGAGAATGTTTTTTCCATGCTAAATACATCATGATGTGCTCTGATATTTTCGAAGAAAGTTGGCCTTCGCCAATATCGTAACAATAACACGTGTAAATTTACTTCATTATAGAAAATACATAACAAAAAATATGTTCAGACGAGGGACGTCTATATGAAAATCAAACTTAACCTTTCTTCAACGGAAATATTGCTTCGCTTTATTCACTTAAGAATCAAATCCCATATTTCAGGCGCACAGATTTTTCATCTAACGCTGATTGATTAAGGTTACCAATCAATCAGTCAATCCATCAATCACCCACTCTGACCCAATATTGGCATTCGGCTGTTCCACAAATATAGGCTAAATCATGCGTTTCACATCTACATAGTATCGGCAGACAGGGAAACAGCAGAATAATTGACCCAAAACGATGACATTGATTTCCGAAGCTGCCGAGTGATTGGATTCCGGGAAAAGCACCCAGAATTCTACTCTCCAAGCAGAGGTTCGGCTTTTTTTTGGCGTGTTTTTAGGCTTTTTTATCGGGGTTCTTTTTTTGCACTGGAATTTTTATTCACCCAATCCAATGCAAAAAAAGAAACCCCGATAAAAAAGCCTACAAACACGCCAAAAATAATCCAAAACCTGAACTTCTGCTTGGAGAGTACCAGAATTCCATCTGTATGCGGATTAAGGGTCCACTACAGTATATCATACGAGATGAAGCAAGTGTCCAATCGATCCATCGGTTTTCAGTCCGAGTAATGGCGTACTTACAGTACTTGTACAGCAAATATCTGAAGATTTCTGATCGATGTTTCGTCACGATTGCATGCATCATCGCACATACCCACATTGTCACATGGATGTCACATGAATCCGTCTTTCTTTGTACTTCCTCGTAGCGCGCTGTGAGCCTTTGATAAGCTTTCGGCATCACAAACGGGATTAGGCACCTAATGACTGCATGTGACGCAGAAACGCACGTTGCATACATATGTTTCAGCTCAAACTGGGGATCATGATAGGGTATCCACAACAACAGCAAACCCCAAGATCTGTACCAACACAATGAAAACTGTGTAATATCAATCTCCAAGCAGACCTCTTCCGCAAGACACTGTGTTGGCTAACCTGTATTCAGTCGGTCAACATAGTGTCTTGCCCCCGAAAGGTAGCCTCTACCAGGCTTCGGGAGCGGCAAACTGTACTCCTTCACCAAACCATATCTCCCTCGGCATGTTTATATGTCTATTTAGCCAATTTCTACTCTTTCCAGCCGCTTCCGAAGCCTGGAAGAGGCTTCCCGAAGGGACCTGCTTGGAGACTAGTGCACATAAATGCCGCGGACTTCGATTTTCAGATGTACCCACCTGTCGCTGTGTACACGGTCCTGGTGATCCTCTCCACGTCAAACGCTTCTCGTAGAGCGACGACCACGCCCAACACTCCCCACAGCACCAGGAACACCGCGGCGGACACCTGCCACGTTGTTTTCCTCCTTCTCACTCGCCGTGCAGGTGTCGACAGCAGCTGCTGTCTGACGTGCTGTGCCGACAGGTGGACAGCTGTGGGGCGGTCACACGTCCGCCTGTCCATGGCCGTATAGTGACACTGGGTGGAGGGCAAATCAGAGAACCGCTGTCTGTGATGCTGTCAGCCTGGTTGCCAGACTGTTTCCAGGACATACACAGGCTAGTTCCTCGGCTTCAGGACCAACATGCCTCCAAGGAAATTATATCTCAGCCCTCCTCAGTTAGGCCCTGATACAGACACGCTGTCTAACTCTGGGCCAAGCGTGTGGTTATATGCGTTTGGCTAGTGCTGCTGTATACAGAAAGTTATCGATAAAGACTGTGTGTCGGGGTGAAACAGTCAGAAAGGTTCCCCTCAGGGACGGTACATTACACATTCAGGGGGTGATGATAATGAATTGAATGTGCTCGATCAGAAGGATTGTTAACTCTTGATAGAAGAGTAATCTAAAGCCACGTATTTCCAAACAAGCTCACCAACACAATGATATTACACCTGTTATATCTTTAATACTGTATAAATTGTAGTTTGTTTCGATTATTTCTCTAGCGGGAACGTGTAGAACATAGTTGGATACATAACTGAATATTAGTGGTTCGTCCCGACGTAAGGTAATAAGATTTGCCAGCTTGTTTTGGCGTGGCCTGGGAACTTAACGCTCGAAATTCCCAGCGATATAAACCATTTTAGATCGTCTCGGCCCTCTAGGTTGGCATGGCGACAATTTCCTGCCTAGTGTAGATAGAGACAACCGTATTTTCGTGCCATATATACCTTGTTACAATGTATTAATATCAATGCTTAGTAAGGATGGCATGTTAGTCGACGTGGCCCCATCTAACATTTCCTCCAAAATAATGAGGTCATGGCTCCTGACATAGTTTTGCTGTCTTTTGCCTGACTAAAAATAACCCTGTCCCAGCTGTCGTGCCCTCACGTCTTCGGAAACTATCAATAGTCCCTCCGTGACCCGTTCTTGTGCTATCGACCAGGACAACAGATCTGGAGAATGGGAAAATCTACACAAATATCAGCGCGCATTCTTAATAGGTTGAATACAGAGTACCGTTATTGGATTACCTTTGTATATGATATCCGATTTGTCATACATTAGTAATGTAGTAGGGATAGTCCGTCACGGTGGTCTGTGCTGAACTCAAAGTCGATCTCGCGATGAAATGTTTTTGTTGGGACAACAATGTTGGACCAGACTCTGCTGTGTAATTGGATGGTACAGTTTTCTTACCCTCCAAGCAGAGGTTTGGGTTTTGGCTTATTTATTTATCTATCTAAAGCCTTAAAAAGCCTAAAACACGCCAAAAATAAGCCAAAACCCAAACCTCTGCTTGGAGAGTACGGTTTTCTCTCGGGTGGCCTTTACAACACAACACAATACAAGAACAGTGGTGTAATGTTCTTCTGAACCACGCTTTGACTAAGGTTTATATTCATCTACCATGCAAGAGACTGAAGGTTCTATAACGTTGCCGGTATATATTCTATTTTGGACTAAATCCTTGTTTCTTTTCCCACTAGGGCAACCCAAAACGTACCTTATATAGACTGGTTTATTTGCAGAAACACATACTTCATACATACATAGTACAGTAGGTTAGAAGCTTTTTGCAGCCAAAGGCTGAATTGAGAAGCTTTTACAAATTTTTAAAAAATTACATGACTAATACATAATATATATACATAAAAAGTGCCTTGAGAGGCATTAAACACCACTTATACGCTAGAATAATACACATTTATGCTAAAATTACATCATACAACTTCTGTTGGCAAATTACTTAGGTACAACTGACAATAATAAAAAAGTACAATTACATCATGTGCAACAACATAAAATGAAATCTACTGTATGGCAAGGTTATTCAGTATGTTCAGCATTGTGGGGACAGGACTGCATAAATATCTTTTTGTCCCAATGGGTGGTTTGTAGCGCCGTGTTTGCCTTAGCTGCATGTTGTGTGAGTGGTTACTAACTGGGGGTAGCCAGGGGGCGTGCCTAGACCTAGTGGCTGAAAGGGCAAAGGCCCGGCACAGGGTCAGTCTCCGTTCAGACAGACGTTGG